AGATTGACCCAGGACGTTGAGGTCATTTTGGGCTCCGGCAACTCCAAAGAAAGCATGCCAAACCCATGTGTCGAAGCCAGCAACGGCTTCCAGGATGATACTTTTTGTGCCTTTCCTATTTCCGTAATCACCTTGCCAGGCAGTTGGGCAATTCTTCCATTGCCAATGCATGCAGTCGATGCTACCAATCATTCCTGGAAATCCTCGAGCTTCGGCTTTTTGTAGAAGCCGTTGGAGGTCCCTGGGAGTAGGTCTACGCAGGTAGTCCCTAGTGTACAGGTTTTCAACTGCATCACAAAATCTTACCAAAGCCTCCAACGTAGTGGACTTCCCCATTCGGGCAACCTCATCCACCTGATCAGCAGATGCTCCATACGCCAACATGCGTATAACAGCTGTAAGCTTTTGCTCCGGCAGAAGGCCCAAAACCCCAGTAGCATCACACTTTTGAACAAAATATGCATCATAATTGCAAATATCATGCATGATTTTATTGAACAAGTGGGGTTGCATTCTAAATCGCCTTCGAAAATCAACATCATTGTACAAAGCAGTTGGGATAAAATAATCTTCCAAAAGATTCTTACCCCGAGAATGCCTATGTCTGTCCACATTCCGGCGACGGCCGACTTGTGAACCACGGCGGCGACCTTGGTTCTCTTCCTCTTCCATTGCCACTGCTATGAGAACTTGTTCATCAACTTGCCTCTGCAACTCATTGATTTCATCGGCTCTACGGTTTCTCTCCTTTCTTTCTCTCTCATGCCTCTCCAAGCATCTCCTATATTCTTCCATTGAGAATGAATGGAGTATGAATGCTAAACTCTAAGAAATGAAAATATTGAAAGATGTGGTGTGAGAGGTATGAGGTGAGCCTTTGGTTTTATAGAAAAATTTGGCAAGATAAAGATGCCACGTGGCTTGATTTCATTGGATGAAAATCTTATCTGAAATTTGAAATTCATCCGAAATTTGAACCCAATTTTATCTGAAATTTGAATTTTGAAATTCATCCGAAATTTGAACCCAAATGTATCTGAAATTTGCTTTTTGAAATTCATCCGAAATTTGAATTTTGAAATTCATTCGAAATTTGAACCCAAAAATTTATCTGAAATTTGAATTTTGAAATTCATCCGAAATTTGAACCAAAAAATCTTATCCCGAAATTTTATCTGATTATGAATAGTCTTGACACGTAGGAACCCGTAAATCTTATCCGAAAATATTATCCACATTAATTATTAAGGTAAATAAAATTGTGAATAAAACAAAAAAATGAATAGTAACTGCCCTTAGCTAGGGCAATGGGTGGAAACACAAAATTCTGATTTTGCAAGGGCAACCACTATTCACGTGAATAGTGGCTGCCCTAGCTCCCCCCTTGCCATGGCTAAGGGCAAATGGGTGGAGTTGCTCTAAAAGACATATGGGTGGAGTTGCTCTAAAAGACATGAACGTACAGAGGACGGGGAGAAGAGAAAAAAAAGAGGTGCTGCAGGAGAGAAAACCGAGAGGAACCAAGGGCTGCAAAGAAGGGAGGAGCCGAGAAGCAAGAAAGTGCTTCAAAAATTGATATTAAAGCGTGAAGAAACGATACCCAAGGTCCTGCAGAAAGTTTCAAATAACCAAAAATCAAGGAAGAAACAAAAGACCAGGAGCAATCAGAGAAGAAAGGCAAGGTATAAAGTTCATTCTTTGCTGTAAAACTTCAGGGTGTCTCTCAGTACAGGTTATTCCTTTGCGGCTCAAAAACATCCGATGCAAAGTTTAATCCAACAAGCCTCTGTAAATGGTAGATCATGAGTTCTGCGTGGATGCCAACATCTTGAAAACACATTTCTTTATGAAAGCAACAAATATCTCTCATATCAATCTGCCATAAAGGCTTTGAGAATGTGCGCTGCGAAATTCCTCCATGTCCTTGCTGTCAATTTGTCAGAGATCTCAAGAAACTGCAGACGGAAGGATTAGATCCTTCCCAGAGATAAAATAGTGGTGTCACTGCAACATTGCATAGAAAGAGCTCTCGCAAGGACCTCCTTTCTGTGAAAATATACAGATGGGCATCCATAAGAACCCCTCTGTATTAATCCCTCCCAAATTGGCAATAATTGTGCTACTTACACAAAGAGAGCTCTCACAAGGACCTCTCTGTTGTGAATTACAGATGGGCTTCCGCAAGAACCCCACTGTACAAGTGCTGTGAACACCTTGTGAGTGTCCACAGGCACATTGTGGTACTCAGAGAAGACCTTGCGAGTGTTCTTGAGTACCAAAAACAGAAAACATCAACAGTCCAGACGTTTTATTACATGCCCAACCCACCTTCAGCAGAGTAAAATTCCAAATCTGCAAATTGGAGAAAGAACAGGTGGCAAACGTGCTGCAAATGGAGAAATCAATAACTCTGTTTTAGTCTCACCCATTGGCATAAACAGAAGAAAATATATTAAAGAGATGCAGAAATTACTGATGCCAGAAAGCTTACAAGAGCCGATGAATCACACCCACGTTCTGTGCTTCAAATTTGCCAACAAAGAAAAAATCCCAAGCCGGACAGCCCACGAAAATTATTAAGCCACACTCCTCTGTAGCAAATGCAAATATCATAAAAGCTTCTCACTTTGTTGCTGGCAAAATATGAAGCAACTGAGACCAAGCAAAGGCCAGCACCTCAATTGGCAGTACGGTGGCCCTCTCAAATGATGAGTCTGCAAAGGAAAATATGTAAAGCCTTAGAAACTCCAATCAAATTGGAAAGAAAAATGCACAAAGCATCACAGCAAAAAGCAAAAGGAAAAATGGCTCACCAAGAAGCCTCCTGTGTTGCGGCTGTTGAAGAACCCAAAGCAACATAAGCCAAGACAAAGAAGCCTAAAGTTGAAGAAGTCCCAGAAGCTGAGAGAAAAGTGACGAAAAGCAAAATAAGAAAAAAGAAACGAAAAGCAAAGAGAGGGGAATCATACAGAAAAATATAATAAAAGAAACCTGCCAAAGCAAAGTGAATGACGCCTTTAGAACAACTCCACCCATTTGCCCTTAGCCATGGCAAGGGGGGAGCTAGGGCACCACTATTCACGTGAATAGTGGTTGCCCTTGCAAAATCCGAATTTTGTGTTTCCACCGTTTGCCTTGCTAAGGGCAGTTACTATTCATTTTTTTGTTTTATTCACAACTTTTTTTACCTCAATAATTAATTTGGATAATATTTTCGGATAAGATTTTCGGGTTCCTACGTGTCAATACTATTCATATCTCATAATCGGATAAAATTTTTCAATTTCAAATTTCAGATAAATTAAAAAAAAAAAAAAAAAAAAGGTATATTATAGAAGAAATTATTTATTTCATTAATTTTTTGGTATATTTAATAAAAAAATTTTCCGAATTTTTTCCAATATTTTATTGCAAAAAATTGCTGCTGCCGTTTGGATTGGAGGAAAAAATCAAATCGGAAAAGCAATCAAACAGAGACCGGACGACCACGTGGCAACAGGAAAAAATCAAATCAGCGAGGCACTGTAGCGATACTGTACGAGGTACTGTAGCAGTACTGTACAGTTACTGTAGCAGTTACCTGTAAGCAGTTACTGTAGCGGCTTTTTTTTTTTTTTTTTTTTTTTTTTTTTTTTTTTTTTTTTTTTTTTTTTTTTTTTTTTTTTTTTTTTTTTTTTTTTTTTTTTTTTTTTTTTTTTTTTTTTTTTTTTTTTTTTTTTTTTTTTTTTTTTTTTTTTTTTTTTTTTTTTTTTTTTTTTTTTTTTTTTTTTTTTTTTTTTTTTTTTTTTTTTTTTTTTTTTTTTTTTTTTTTTTTTTTTTTTTTTTTTTTTTTTTTTTTTTTTTTTTTTTTTTTTTTTTTTTTTTTTTTTTTTTTTTTTTTTTTTTTTTTTTTTTTTTTTTTTTTTTTTTTTTTTTTTTTTTTTTTTTTTTTTTTTTTTTTTTTTTTTTTTTTTTTTTTTTTTTTTTTTTTTTTTTTTTTTTTTTTTTTTTTTTTTATTGCGTAAAGCGCCGAGTATGGAAGGTGGCAGATTCGAGCCAATCTATCAGAGCGAGTTTCCAAAAAATCATCGGGATACGATCTGGAAACGGTGCATGGCAAATGGATAAAGTCATGGCCCCCGAAACAAAACATAGATTTGGAAGAACGGGGAGTTATGAAAGAACTTTCCACAGTAGTGCCCTACACATGGATTGGTTTGATGAGCAAACCATTGATTTGTTGGCATAACGTTTTAGGTTTTTTATTTTGCTGTTCTCGATTAGTTGGTGTACTTCCTGTATTTTTTTTCGTGTCGTAATTCTTAATGACTTTATTGATTTTCTTTATTTATAAACCATGCATCATAAGACTATTTTAGTCACATAGTGCATCATCCACACATAACTAGAAAATAGGGACAAAAGCTACAAACATCCCAATTAAATAAAACACAACCCTCCCAACCCCTATATAAAACTACCACAGCTGTGCTCCCTTCATCTTCATTTCCCTTTCACACAGCCCATAATGCTCTATACAGTCACGTTGCCTGCTTTCATGAATATTACAAGATTGCTCTCTGTATATCGATCTAAAAACCCGCTGCTCATACGATCGTCCCTCAACCAACGTCCCGGCTCACTTTTCCTCCTCTTGGCCCATTGGCATTTCTACATCCGGTCTCTCCGTGTTTTTGGATCCGTCGCATAGACCTCTCCAGCATCATAATCGTCACTCATCCTCCCCAAGTCATCTTATGATGGATTATGCAAATCATCTAATGCGTTCTGAGGACTCTCCTCATCAAACATACGGGCCACCTCGAACAATCACCCATCGGCTTGAAGGATGCCAAACACCTTTCGACCTCTTTCGTATCCTTCTTGATAGGTACAAATATTTTGCTTATGGGGATCGTGGATTCGGATGGATTTCACAAATGTGGTCCGCCCTGGGTATAGAACCGTCCAGCTAGATACTACTCGTCCTGTATCTGTTACTTTGGTTGACTTGATGGTAATTATTGGTGCCATTTTGCCGCACAACACACATCGTGGAAGACCTTAGACTTTACGCATGACGTGAGTGTAAATTTTGTGCGCCGGCGACTCCGAGCAGTCCTTCCACCCATTGTTTCTAATCCATCAACGCTTCCAAGGTATGATACTTTTTGTGCCTTTTCTATTTCCGTCTCCCCTTGCCCGCAGTGTTCAATTTCTTCCATGGCCACTGCAATGCGTCGATGCCTACCATCATTCCTTGAAATCGCTCCGAGCTTCGGTTTTTTGTAAAGCCGTTGGAGGTCCCTGGGAGTAGGTCTACGCAGGTAGTCCCTAGTGTACATGTTCAACTGCATCACAAAATCTTACCAAAGCCTCCAACGTGTGGACTTCCCCATCGGGCAACCTCATCCACCTGATCAGCAGATGCTCCATACGCCAACATTCGTATAACAGCTGTAAGCTTTTGCTCCGGAAGAAGGCCCAAACCCCAGTAGCATCACACTTTTGAACAAAGTATGCATCATAATTGCAAATATCATGCATGACTTTATTGAACAAATGAGGTTGCATTCTAAATCGCCTTCGAAAATCAACATCAGAGTACAAAGCAGTTTGGATAAAATAATCTTCCAAAGATTCTTACCCCGAGAATGCCTATGTCTGTCCACATTCCGGCGACGGCCGACTTGTGAACCACGGCGGCGACCTTGGTTCTCTTCCTCTTCCATTGCCACTGCTATGAGAACTTGCTCATCGACTTGCCTCTGCAACTCATTGATTTCATCGGCTCTACGGTTTCTCTCCTTTCTTTCTCTCTCGTGCCTCTCCAAACATCTCCTATATTCTTCCATTGAGAATGAATGGAGTATGAATTCTAAACTCTAAGAAATGAAAATATTGAAAGATGTGGTGTGAGAGGTATGATGTGAGCCTCTGGTTTTATAGAAAAATTTGGCAAGATAGAGATGCCACGTGGCTTGATTTGATTGGATGAAAATCTTATCTGAAATTTGAAATTCATCCGAAAATTTGAACCCAAATTTTTCTGAAATTTGAATTTTGAAATTCATCCGAAATTTGAACCCAAATTCATCTGAATTTTGAATTTTGAAATTCATCCGAAATTTGAATTTTGAAATTCATTCGAAATTTGAACCCAAAAATTTATCTGAAATTTGAATTTTGAAATTCATCCGAAATTTGAACCCAAAAATCTTATCCCGAAATTTTATCCGATTATGAATAGTGTTGACACGTAGGAACCCGTAAATCTTATCCGAAAATATTATCCAAATTAATTATTGAGGTAAAAAAAAATTGTGAATAAAACAAAAAAATGAATAGTAACTGCCCTCAGCTAGGGCAATGGGTGGAAACACAAAATTCTGATTTTGCAAGGGCAACCACTATTCACGTGAATAGTGGCTACCCTAGCTCCCCCCCTTGCCATGGCTAAGGGCAAATGGGTGGAGTTGCTCTAAAGACATATGGGTGGAGTTGCTCTAAAAGACATGAACGTACAGAGGACGGGGGAGAAGAGAAAAAGAAAAGAGGTGCTGCAGGAGAGAAAACGCAGAGAGGAACCAAGGGCTGCAAAGAAGGGAGGAGCCGAGAAGCAAGAAAGTGCTTCAAAAATTGATATTAAAGCGTGAAGAAACGATACCCAAGGTCCTGCAGAAAGTTTCAAATAACAAAAAAATCAAGGAAGAAACAAAAGACCAGGAGCAATTAGAGAAGAAAGGCAAGGTATAAAGTTCATTCTTTGCTGTAAAACTTCAGGGTGTCTCTCAGTACAGGTTATTCCTTTGCGGCTCAAAAACATCCGATGCAAAGTTTAATCCAACAAGCCTCTGTAAATGGTAGATCATGAGTTCTGTGTGAATGCCAACATCTTGAAAACACATTTCTCTATGAAAGCAACAAATATCTCTCATATCAATCTGCCATAAAGGCCTTGAGAATGTGCGCTGCGAAATTCCTCCATGTCCTTGCTGTCAATTTGTCAGAGATCTCAAGAAACTGCAGACGGAAGGATTAGATCCTTCCCAGAGATAAAATAGTGGTGTCACTGCAACATTGCATAGAAAGAGCTCTCGCAAGACCTCCTTTCTGTGAAAATATACAGATGGGCATCCATAAGAACCCCTCTGAACAAATCCTCCCAAATTGGCAATAATTGTGCTACTTACACAAAGAGAGCTCTCACAAGGACCTCTCTGTTGTGAATTACAGATGGGCTTCTGCAAGAACCCCACTGTACAAGTGCTGTGAACACCTTGTGAGTGTCCATAGGCACATTGTGGTACTCAGAGAAGACCTTGCGAGTGTTCTTGAGTACCAAAAACAGAAAACATCAACGGACCAGACGCTTTGTTACATGCCCAACCCACCTTCAGCAGAGTCAAATTCCAAATCTGCAAATTGGAGAAAGAACAGGTGGCAAAACGTGCTGCAAATGGAGAAAATCAATAACTCTGTTTTAGTCTCACCCATTGGCATAAACAGAAGAAAATATATTAAAGGAGATGCAGAAATTATAGAGTGCCAGCAAGCTTACAAAAGCTGATGATTCACACCCACGTTCTGTGCTTCAAAGTTTGCCAACAAAGAAAAAATCCCAAGCCAGAGACAGCCCACGAAAATTATTAAGCCAGCACTCCTCTGTAGCAAAATGCAAATATCATAAAAGCTTCTCACTTTGTTGCTGGCAAAACATGAAGCAACTGAGACAAAGCAAAGCCAGCACCTCAATTGGCAGTACGATGGCCCTCTCAAATGATATGAGTCTGCGAAGGAAAATATGCAAAGCCTTAGAAACTCCAATCAAATTGGAAAGAAAAGGATGCACAAAGCATCAGCAAGCAAAAAGCAAAAGGAAAAATGGCCCACCAGAAGCCTCCTGTGTTGCGGCTGTTGAAGAATCCAAAAGCAACATAAGCCAAAGACAAAGAAGCCTAAAAGTTGAAGAAGTCCCAGAAGCTGATAGAGAAAAGTGACGAAAAGCAAATAAGAAGAAAAGAAACGAAAAGCAAAGAGAGGGGAATAAGACAAAAAATAATAATAAAAGAAACCTGCCAAAGCAAAGTGAATGACGCCTTTAGAACAACTCCACCCATTTGCCCTTAGCCATGGCAAGGGGGGAGCTAGGGCAGCCACTATTCACGTGAATAGTAGTTGCCCTTGCAAAATCCGAATTTTGTGTTTCCACCCGTTGCCCTTGCTAAGGGCAGTTACTATTTATTTTTTGTTTTATTCACAACTTTTTTTACCTCAATAATTAATTTAGATAATATTTTCGGATAAGATTTTCGGGTTCCGACGTGTCAATACTATTCATATATCATAATCGGATAAAATTTTCAATTTCAAATTTCAGATAAATTATAAAAAAAAGGCTGGTATTTATAGAAAAAAATTCATTAATTTTTGGGTATTTTTAAAAAAATTTTCCGAATTTTTTCCAGTATTTTATTGCAAAAAAATTGGCTGCCGTTGGATTGGAGGAAAAAATCAGATCGGAGAGCCCAGACGACGCCACGTGGCAACAGGAAAAAATCAAATCAGCGAGGCACTGTAGCGATACTGTAGCGAGGTACTGTAGCAGTACTGTAGCAGTTACTGTAGCAGTTACTGTAGCAGTTACTGTAGCGCTACAGTAACCCCCTCGTTTTGGAGACTTGCCTTCGGGCCAGCCCGAGGAGGTGCGTCCCACACCCCCCCCGGGCCTGGGCTGCTCTTTTCCTCGGGCTGGGCTGCATGGGTGGAAAGGCTCTTAGTGGACTACATGGTCTGCTTTGATGGACATGAGCAAAAGAAAGGTCTCGCCTTGGTTTTGGCGTCTCCGACTCAAGGCTCTGTATTGATTGGGGCAGATGAGTAGTTGAAGAGATATATAATTTGGTCCAGTTATAATTGATTTGAACTATTCCAGATAAAGATGGGAGTGACTCAGTTTGAATTAATCTCTACTACTCCAAATAGATATCGGTTTCAAAATTCAACTGGTTCTCAAAGCTTTTCTGACATAGATTCTTTGTTTATGGGCCAATTAATGGAAATATCAAGGCCCCGAAACAAATTGATGGGTTGACAAAACAAATTACCCATTAACTTTTGAAAGCCCAAAATATTTAATGGGTGGTCCAAATAAATTATGTGGTTAATGGATTAATTTTTAAATCCTTAAATCATATGTGAGTAAATTAATAGGCTCATTAAAATGCCTTTTAATTTTCTTTGGACATTAACAATAAAAAGATGGTACAAAACCATTCCAAATTTTCTCATGGGTCATTTACCTTGCAAATTTCAATGAGATCAAATTTAAATTTCTCAAACACACAAATTCTTTCAAAGGGTCATTCATTCTTTGAAAGACCAATCAAATCCATTTGGAACTACGTCGGTTTGATCCCAGCAAGGGTACGTAGGCAGTCTAATATCCCAATGGACGCAACCGCAACTAAATTTGAATCCCTGGTTTTATCCTAACCAAATTCGTCCACACTCAACCATTAATTTCCAGTTTTTTCTCATGGGTCATCTACTCATGAAAATTCCAATGAGATTAAATTCAAATATCTCAAACACAAATTCTCAATTAGTGGGCCACACTTATCCATTAATTTTCATTTTTCTCATAGGTCATCTACCTATGAAAATCCCCAAATTATCTCAAAGATACAAATTCTAAATTATTGGGCCACACTTACCCATTAATTTCTAATTTTTTCTCGTGGGTCATCTACTTATGAAAATTCCAATGAGATTAAATTCAAATATCTCAAACACAAATTCTAAATTATTGGGCCACACTTACCCATTAATTTCCAATTTTTCCCATAAGTCATCTACCTATGAAAATCTTCAAATCGTTTCAAAGACACCAATTCTAAATTATTGGGCCACACTTACCCATTAATTTCCAAACTTTGGAACTACGCTGGTTTGATCCCATCAAGGGTACGTAGGCAGTCTAGCATCCCAATAGACGCAACCGCAACCAAATTCTCACCAATCAAATCTCCACACAAATCCATTTGGAACTACGTCGGTTTGATCCCATCAAGGGTACGTAGGCAGTCTAACATTCCAATAGACGCAACCACAACCAAATTTGAATCACTGGTTACCACAACCAAATTCTCACCAATCAAATCTCCATAAAAATCATTTGGAACTATGCCGGTTTGATCCCATCAAGGGTACGTAGGCAGTCTAGCATCCCAATAGACGCAACCGCAACCAAATCCCCACAAATTAAATATTTACCTTTACACAAATCAAGTCCGAACTACGTTGGTTTGATCCCTTTGAAAGGGTACGTAGGCAATCTAGAGATTCAATCTAGATGCAATCATCCCAAACACAACTCCATATCGAATCTCTGGCTTATTCAGCTAAATTCACTCAAACACCCCTCAATCAAATTCATTTAAATTCCCCCTTTTTGCAATGAGTCATCTATTCATTGCGAATCTTTGAACTACGAGTGGCTTGATTCCTGTAAAGGATACGTAGGCACCCTGAGGTTGAACTTGGGAGCAGCCGCAAAACCAAACACATACATTCTGTTTCTTTATGATTGAATCAAAGGGTTTTCCCTTGTAGCAAGGGATTGTAATTAAGAGACTTGCGTCTCGAATGGGTCGAACCTAAAATAATAAAACCCCATTAATTGATTAGTGGTGGTGAAATTATGTTTGGACGTTTACAGTTTTATATCTAACAAAATCACATCAAAAGCTAAAGTGGTGTAAAACCACATCAAAAGCCCAAGTGGTACAAAACCACTTCGAAAGCCGCACTAAGAAATGTGGGAATCAATCACTACGGCAAGGAAGCTATTCAAAAAGGAGTGCCAAGCGAATCAACCATGTTGTGACAGTGACTCATATCTAAGTACGTAAATGATTGGTCATGCTCCGAGCATCAAGCTCACTCACAATTTTTGAAATGTGTCTTATTTTTATTATAAGAAAATAAAACTCTTTATCCAGAAAGATTCTAAAGTTTATTTTTACATTTTCAACTTAAAAGAATAAAAAAAAAAACTTGAATAAAAAAAAATAGCAGCCCCAAAATTCATTGACATCATACACTAAGCGATCTGACATTTGATGAAATTGTTACATCCTTGACGTGATCCTAGCTGATTTATTGTTATAAATATGCCTTTGTAAAATTAATTCTAAGGACCCTCAATTTCTCTCTCCTCCTCTCTAAATGTAGAGAGCCACCAAACTCAAAAAGAGAGTTGTCCAAAATAGAGAGCTTAATAGCAAATCTGCTGAAATTGCATTTTGCCCTCATTCTAGCCAAAATAGTTAAGAATCAAAGTATAGCAACTCTACTGGAGATGCTCTTAGTGCTCTTCAAATTTAACCCCACCCCCTATCCTATACATTTCAAACTTCATTTCAAAGAATACTAGAATGCTCTGATGTTATTTATTGACATGATTATATCAAGTCATGCGACATACTGCTACAAAGTTGGTTAATTTTCATTCAGGTTAATGAACAAAGCAAAATGATTCTACAAGTGAACCAGATACATAATTCAAACTAATATACAAAGCAGACAATATTGCAAGCTATGGGAGCAAATATTTCAATTTCCAATCACAAAAAGCCACGTGGATGAGAAGAATATCCCTTTGGTTAATTAATTGATTCCATTTATTTGGCCAATTAATTAATACTAAAATTAGGGATAATATCTTAAATATGGTATATTATCTTTATTTAATAAGATAATACCACCAATTTTGATATTATCCTAATTAGGAGATATTATCATCATCAAATTAGGAGTTTTGATCCCAATCAAATCCCTAATAAACTCAATCTCTACAATTTGGGGAAAGAATAAACCCCTTCCTAATAAGAGTTTATTCTTTGCAAAACCCTAGATGTTGAGAAAATTCTAAAACCTGAGAAAATACCCAAAACTCTCCATATCTCTCTCTCCCTAGCCGATGGCGCCACCACCGCCGCCAGCCACACCACTCTCCTCTCTCCATATTTTACATACACGCTCCGACCATCACCCATGGCTCCAGCCGCCCAGTTCACATCATACATACATCTCCATACCCTTTTTTAGCTATTGTTTTTCTTAGATTCAATCGACCTAACTTAGGTATCGGATGACCTTTGGACAACACCCCCCAAGTATGGTCTATTTACTCCTTTTTTTTTCTTTTTCTTTTTTATAGGAATCGAGGAAGAGAGAGAATGAAGATCAAAGGTTGAAGAATCTACAAGCGAATATTCTCCCGTGAAGATTTTTGGACAAACACAGGCTATCCCATGATTTTTCATCTTTTCATTGAACCAAAACAATTCAATTATAAAAAAATCAAACGTAGGATAGGATAAGTCCCACAACTTTGAGTGGGTTTGATACCCACGTGCATTGAAACAACAAAGAAGTCAAATTGGCTTTGATCATAATCCTAGAGAAAAGGAAGTGATCAGGTTTTCAAAAATTGTGGGAAGAAAGTTGTTTAGCTTTTCAAATTGGAGTTTATTATATCCTCAGTCTGAAAGCTAGCTGATAAATAGCATGACAAGGATGGAGATAGGGGAGTTTGACCAACCAATGAAAACTCTCAAGAGAGGATGGTGACCCTTGTTTTTGTGGAGCTGATTATTCAATATTTGAATGAAAAATCCTTCACTAAAGAGATCTCTCATATCTATAGCCTACAAAGCACGGCAATAAGAAAGAAACAAAAATGGGGGGAGACAGAGGAGCAGCCATGAGGCTGCAAAGATTAAAAAAAAATGAGGCTTAACACCTCTATTCCCTGCAAAGATCGAAGCAATTAAAGATACACATTGCATCTGCAACAAGGCGTCTCTCTTGAAGTCCTCCATGCTTGGGTATAAAACCCATGAACCAAATTCTATGGATGATGAATCCCTTATG